ATCGAAGATCGCGGGCGGCGCGGCCTCCTCTGGAAAGGCACCGTCAGCAGCGTCGGCCTGCGCGGCGCGGGCGAGGACTTTGGTGACTGTGGAGTCGCCGAGCCCGAAAGAGCTCCAGAATGGCCCCCATAGATGCACGCGTTCGTCTCCTGGAGACCCCCCTGGTCCGCGCTGGGGGACGGACGCTGTCCCGGCGCAGTCGACGAAGTGGTCGAGTCGCCCCATGGCCACGCGCGGGAGTGCGAAGATCGCCAAATCCTCGCCGTCGCGGCTGAGCTGCCTGGGGCACATACATCCCCAAAGGCATTGGCCCGCACGCCGCTGCCTCAGGCTCTGCCCAGCGGCTGCACTGCACGACTGCCCACCCGGCCCGGCCGACGCCGGGGGAGCGCCCCGCGAAGGCGGAGCCGTCGGAGAACAGCGCACCCTCGAGTCTCCCTGAAGCGGGACGGCCCCACCAATGGATCTCGATCTCCCGGCAGCCGATCTCGCTCCAGAGGCGTTTCGGGTCGGGGAAATCCCCGCGCGCGAATCGCTCGGCAGCCACTGCCCCTTCGCGCCGCGCCCGCCGCGCCCTCGCCACCAGGAGGCAGCGGTTCGCACCTGGCTGGCATGGGCGTCGCACTCGCACACCCTGTGGAAGACCGCGCCGGCCTTCGCCCTGCAGAGATTGCACAGCCCACGCGATGCGAGACCATGGCGCCACAGCCGCCCCTGGCACCAGCGCGCGTTTCCCACGATGGCCCGGAGGGAGTTCTGCTGCCGCCTCGCTCAGTTTTGCGCCGAGCGGCGTCTTGGGCGAGACGGCCATGCGCATCAAGTCCAATCGGGCACCATCGAAGCGCCAGCCGCACCGCCTCAACGTCAACAGCGCCACGTCCGCGGGGGAGATAGCCCGCGGCCGCGGGTGCCGGAAGCGGCCCAGCGTCTGCCAGGCACGCCCGGAGGACTCCGCGCGCCGGCGAGCCCTCCCAGACAGCGCGAGCCCACTGCTGCGCCACGGCCCCCACATCGATGGCCAACGGATTCACGCTGAGGAGGCGCCCGACTGCGCAGCACCTGCACTCGAAGCCGGCGCACGGGCGCGGGGGCTAGCCCAGCAACCGCGGTGCCCCACGCGGCTTTCGCGGCGGGCCCCGCGCGCTAGATACCATGGACAGCCCCTCCCGCGCTGCGAAATCTCCTGAGCCGGACTGCCTGCGCCCGTGCCGCCGCCTGCCTTTCGGCGCAGATGTTGACGCGGCGGCGGCCCCCATCGTCGGCGCCCGCCCCGAGGCTCCGCGCGCGCTGCACTGCGGCCGAAGGACTCAGCGCCCAGCGCGTCGCGAGGGCTGCTTCGACCCCCGCGTCCGAGGCGAGGCACGCGAGCTTATTATTCTCGCGCGCCGGCAGCTGCAACACCGCGAGGCTGTCGACGACATCCGCGGCTGCGCTGCCGAGCTGCGCTGCCGCCCCCCATCCACCCCGACCCTCTGGATAGCGACATCGTCGACGACGTCGCGAATGGCGACGCGGGGCCCGCCGAACACGGCATCCCGGAGGGGCCTGATGACAATGGGGCTTCGCTTAGAGAAATCGCACTGGAGCAACCGGACACGACTGCTCCCGCGGGGTGCACCTTCCGTGAGACTGCGCCGTCCAAGATGACCACCCCGGGGGCCACGTAGATGGCGCGCAAAGCCCGAAGCACCTGCGCGGGGAGACCCTCCGCGCGCCCCGCCTGCAGGAGGAACGCGTGGTTCACCTCCTCGTAGAATTTGCGGACGTCGATCTACGCGGCGGCTGCCGATACGCCATTGGCCCACGCGCACCTCTAAAGCACGTGGCGCACCCAGCCCGCGCGCTCGCAGGAAATTGGGCCGCCCCCCCAGAAGGCGCTGCACGGATGGGCCTGTCCCCACGCCCTGCAGAGGGGCTGCCGCACCCGGCTGTAGATCTTGAACAGCAGTGGCAGCAGTCCAGTCGGCCTGGCGCCCCCATCAGGTTCCCCCTGGAATGCGACGTTGACGAGCATGGTGGCAATCGTGATGGTCTGCTCCGGCTGCGCTTCGAAGTGGCTGACCAAGTCCACGAAGCGCCGCTGCGACTCCATGGGCAGGTCGAGGATCCAGCGCGGGTGGAACTTGCCCAGGCCCAAGCCCGCCTAGGGCATGTAAAGTCGGCAAGCGCGCTGTTCTCCAGGCAGCGTGACGGGCGGCAGCACGTCGCTGCAGTACACGCCCATGGCCTGGCACCAGCGTGCCGGGTCCACGCGGGTAGCCACTCCTGCAGCAGTACTTCCAGCGCTGCGGCCCCGTTGACGGGTAGCGGGCAGGGCCCCGGATCGGCCTCGAGCAAAGCCTCGGCAGGCGGCCGAGGCCCTTTGATCCTCCGGTGGGCGATCCGCCCTCCGCGCTGCACTGCGCCCGCCGCGAACGCGCGCCAGCGTGCCCGCGCGAAGGCCGCGCGAGTCGCCAGCGCCTTCTCCTCCGCGGTCTGGATCTCTGCCAGCGCGCCCTGGCGCATCGCGGCGTCCAGACCGCCAACCTGGCCCAGGAGCTCAAACGCCCGCTCCGCCGCGATGCTGGAGTCCGGATCGTCGGTCGGAGGACGCGCTGCCACTGCGCGCGCAGCGCGCGCCCCCCTGCCCGAGGGGTCGTTCTGCCAAGCTGGCTGCCTTGCCCTGCGAGCAGCTGGAAGCTCTTCCACATGGACGCGCGGCCGTCGAGGCGCTCCACGAGCGCGTGGCACCAAGCATCGCGGAGAGGGGCCCGCGCCAAACGGCAGCCTTCGGCCCGCCCAGGCCAACGCGCATTGGCCTCCCCTACGTCGCGCAAGGCGTCTAGCTGCACCTCGGCCGCGGCAACGAACCACTCTCTGAACCCTTCTGCCAGGGAAGGGGGTGCAGCACCGCAGCTCCAAGACCACGTAGCACCGGGCGGCAGGGCCCGCGGCCCTATCCAGGGCTCCGCGGGATAGGCCTTGCGTCGCCGCACCTGGGAAACACAGGCGGGCAGTCTCAGGCCCGCCAACTTCAAGTGTAAGGGGCTGCGCGGGACCGCGGGCGCCCCCGCGGCGACCCAGACATGCTCCACGGGGGGCCGGAGTTCCCGAGCCATCGCGAAGAAGTCCAAAGTGGCGGTGCCAACGTCAGGCTCTGGGTTGCGAGCCCAGCACGCGGCGCCGACGGGCGCAGCGATCACACCCAAAGGGAATCGGCCCACTGCGAGTCCTCCAACATCTGAGCGCTGATATTCCAGTCTTCTTGCACGATCCACGGCACGCACGGTCAACTCCAGGATCGCCTCCGCCAGGAGATCCAGCTGCCCATTGTTGAAGTCGCCGAGCCCGGAGCTGTCTTCGAGGTAGGCTGAGAAGGCGGCGACTTTCATGCCACCTACGTTCAGGACCGGCCGGCAAGGCGGCCCTGGTAGGCCTCGCCCAACTCGAGCTCGAGGGGGCTCGAAGGCATGGCCTCGAGGTCAACACGGAGCCGGTCTGCTTTGGCCTGGTCCGCCACAGCGGGCGAATCGTCCGCACCTCCGGGTGTCCCAGCTGCGCCCGAGGTGGTGTCCTTTTCCGCCTTGGCCACGGCCGCCTCGCGTTTGCGGAGCTCCGCCTCCTTGGCCTTGAGCTCCCGCTCACGCTGGGTGAACGCCTCCGAAGCCGCCCGGCGCACGAAGGGCTCCTTCGGTAGCACCTTGCTGAGGAAGCAGCACCCCTTGCCGAGGCTCCAAGAGTAGCACACGGTGCGGAAGGACTTGCTGATGCAGGGTTTGCCGTCCCGCCCCGTACATGAGCGGCACGTCCATGCCGCGGCAACATCCTGGCGCCTGCCGCCTGTCGCCATCCGGCCCGCCGAAGAGCCGTGATGGACGAACAGCTCTGCTGCCGCCTGCTGCAGGCAGGCGTGAGAGGCCAGCGACGAGCGCCCAGCCCAGGCGTGGAGCAGAGCGCGGGACGCCATGTACGTGTGTATCTACGCACGCACGCATGTATTTATGTATGCATGTGTCGACGCACACATATGTGTATATATGTCGTAGAAACACGCGCGCTACGCGCCCCGACGAGGGAAAGAGACGGCAAGCGCCCGATCCCGCCGCGTTTCGCAAACAACCTACGATGATATCACCATATCGCCCGAACTTTAACACCCCAGTCCGAAGATCTGACATCTAACGCCCTAGCGCCCGAGTGCTATAACCCGACCCTTAACTTCCACGCCCCTACACTCCGACCCTGACATATTGGTCCGAACAACCTAGCCCGACGACCCAACCCAGACATCCGAGCTCCAACACCCAACCCCAGCGCCAGCTTCCAGTTTTCAATATCCAATCTGGGCCTCTAGTGGAGGCCCGCTTGGGGCACAGCGACAGCAAGACTGAAACATAAGCAGGTGGAACTACAAATAGTTATGTAAGCAATGCAGATGGTTGCTGTCCTTGAAAAACCACTCGGCGAGGCACTCAGTAAAAGAACTCCACGTGGTCCCGTCGCTCGTGGCATTGATCCACGTGGGCACGCCGGGCTCCGCATTGGGATGCATCGACCTGGAATCGGCCATACATCGTCGATAAATCGGCGACAGGCCCCCGATAGTGTATCCGCACCTTCCTGTGCAAGTTTGGGCTATCGGGCCCCTATCGGCGATCAATGGGCGATTGGAGGTCGATGCATTATCCCCCCCCCCATGCCTATCCCCCCTATCGTTACCCCTGACTGACGGATCGATCCCGCTCGAGAAGCTGGGCGCAAAGACGGGGTCAGGCCCACGCCCACTATCCCCCTGCACCGATCCTGGGCAGGCTGGCCAGGGTGGGTGCATACGTCCATCTTGCCTGGCCAGGAAGGCGTATACATCGATCATTGGCCCCGAATCAGCCCAGTCAATCAGTCAGTCAGTCGTCGGTGCCCCTGACTTCGATGGCTCTCATGTCCCTATGCACCTGGCACTCATTGAACCCTCCGGTGCACTCCTCCGCGCTGGTGCCATCCAGCTCCGCCCGCCCGGGCATCCTCCGCCCGAAAGCGCGCGTTGGGTGGGGGGCCAGGAGAAGCAGAACGCCGCCCAGCGCCCCACGGCCGAGCCCACAGTCGAGGCCCCAGGGGCCGCCTCCTTCGACCAACTCCTCCTCCTCCTCCTCATCCTCCTCCTCCTCCTCCTCCTCCTCCTCCTCCTCCTCCTCCGCCCTCCTGATCTTCATCCCCATCCGCAACCTCATCCTCATCCTCCTCCTCCCCATCATCATCATCATCATCATCATCATCATCATCATCATCATCATCATCATCATCATCATCATCATCATCATCATCATCAGCAGCAGCAGCAGCAGCAGCATCATCATCATCATGATCATCATCATCATCATCATCATCATCATCATCATCATCATCATCATCATCATCATCATCATCATCATCATCATCGTCATCATCATCATCATCATCATCATCGTCGTCGTCGTCGTCGTCATCAGCATCATCATCATCATCAGCATCATCATCGTCATCATGATCATCATCATCATCATCAGCAGCAGCAGCATCATCATCAGCATCATCAGCATCATCGTCAGCATCATCAGCAGCATCATCATCATCAGCATCATCATCATCATCATCATCATCAGCATCATCATCATCATCATCGTCATCATCATCATCATCATCATCATCATCATCATCATCGTCGTCGTCATCATCATCAGCATCATCATCATCATCATCGTCATCATGATCATCATCATCATCATCAGCATCAGCATCATCATCATCAGCATCATCATCAGCATCATCAGCAGTATCATCATCATCATCATCATCAGCATCATCATCATCATCATCAGCAGCAGCATCATCATCATCATCATCATCAGCAGCAGCAGCATCATCATCATCATCGTCGTCGTCGTCATCGTCATCAGCATCATCATCATCATCATCAGCATCATCATCATCGTCATCATCATCATCATTATCATCAGCGGCAGCATCATCATCATCATCAGCATCATCATCAGCATCATCAGCAGCATCATCATCATCAGCATCATCATCATCATGATCATCATCATCAGCATCATCATCATAATCATCTTCATCGGCATCATCAGCAGCAGCATTATGATCACCCGCATCACCAGCATACGCATCACCACATCCTAAGCCAGCACGGCAAGTACATCAGATTCACAAAGAAAATCGTCAACGCCACCACCGTCAACACCAGCACCAACAGCAGCATCCCCCTGACCACCATCATAATCATCATCACCAGTACAATAAGAATCAGCATCTTCACAACCATCACCATCATCACCATCATGATTATCAGGAGCATCATCACCAACGACAGCATAATCATGATCAACATCATCATCATCATCATCATCATCATCAGCATCATCATCATCAGCAGCAGCATCATCACCATCTGCTCACCATCATCATAATCAGCATCAGTACCATCATCACCAGCATCATCAGCATCATCAGCATCATCATCAGCATCAGCATCAGCATCATCATCAGCATCATCCTCATCATCATCGTCATCGACGTAGCCCCACGTATTCCCACATCGCTTCTCATATCATTATTTTCGTCCTCGCCTGTTATCTGAATATCATCCTCTCCACATTCCGGCAGTCCTCCCCTCCTCTCCACCCTCCGCCCCCCTGTGCATCCATTCCTCTCTCACTTCCCGCATGCATGCCTGCTTGCCTCCCCCTCTCCCTCCCTTCGTGCCCCCACGCCTCCTCCCTGCATACCCCGATCTTCATCCATCTTCCCTCCTCCGTCATGAATCATTTCTCCTTCCTCCCCTCGACCAATATCAATCCTCTCTGTTTCTAGTTTACTACCCCCCCCTCTCTAATTTCTCGGCATCCCTCCCTCCGTCCCGACACTTCCTCCCTCCCTCTTCCCTAATCCCACGTCCACGCTCCCTCCCTTCCTCGTTCTCCTTTTCGTCCTCGTCCTCATCGTGCAGACCGCGGTCCTCATCCTCATCATCCTCCCGCTCTTACTTCCGCTCCTTGCCCCATCTTCCTCCTCCGCCTCCACCTCCGCCTCCGCCTCCTCCTCCTCCTCCAACTTCTCATCGTCATCCTTTTTCCTCGTCCTTTTCCTCCGCACCTCCCACTCCTCCTCCTCGCCCTTATCCTCCTCGTCCTCTCTTCCTCGCCCCCGCCATCCAGACTACCCCGCTCCCCCTGGACGCCCCCGCCCCGTTCCCCCGCACCTCCCCCCCGCCGTGCCCCGCTTACCCCTCTGGACGTGGAGCGGGGCGCCACCCGCTTTTTCTCCCGGCGCCTCCGTGCCTGGGTCTGAGGCAGGGCGCGCGGGTCGCGCGCGCCCGGAGGCGGGTGCCTCCGAGGGGCTCCGCCCCCCCCCCCCTGTGAGCCCAGCTGTCTGCGGCGGTGGGGTCCTCCGGGCGCCCCCGCGACGGCGGGGCGCCTGCATCCCCCCTCGCCGCGATCCTCGCCCTCCTGGGCTACCTCCTCCTCCTCCCGAATCTTCAGTCCCCTCAAGCTCATCGTCGTCGCATTCCTCCTCCTCCTCCTCCTTCTCCTCCTCCTCCGCCTCCTCCTCCAATTCCTCGTCCTTTCCGCCTCCTCCTCATCCTCTCCTCCTCCGCCTCCTCCTCCTGCCTATCCTCCCAGTCCTCCTCCTTCTCGTCCTCCTCCTCCACGACCTCATCCTCATCCTCATCTTCATCTGAATCATCATCCTTCGGATAGCTTTCGCATTATTGATCGCATGCGTAGTATTATGATTTTGTGTGCTCCTAACAGTTGTCATATCAGTATTAGTCTTATTCGTCCTAGCGTTATGATTAGTAGTAGGTAGTAAATAGTAATAGTAATAGTAGTAGTAGTAGTAAATAGTAATAAGAATAGTAGTAGTAAATAGTAATCGGAATCGCAATCGTAATCGTAATCGGAATCGTAATCTTAACCGTAATCGAAATAGAAATAGTAATAGTAGTAGTAGTGATCGTAATAGCAATAGTAATAGAAATAGTAATAATAAGAGTAATCATAATAGTACTAGTCAGAGTCATAGTCATAGTCATAGCCATAGTCCGAGTCATAGTCATAGTCATAGTCATAGTCATAGTCATAGAACTAGACATAGTAATAGTAATAGTAACAGTACTACTAGTACTAGTACTAGTACTAGTACTAGTACTAGTACTAGTACTAGTACTAGTACTAGTACTAGTACTAGTACTAGTACCAGTAATAGCCGTAGTCATAGTCATAGTCATAGACATAAACATAAACATAGTCATAGTAATAGTGATAGGAACAGTGATAGTAATATTAATGGTAATACTACGAGTAATAGTAACAGTAATAGTGATAATAGCAATAATAAAAGTAATAGTAATACGAATAGTAATAATGATAGTAATAGTGATAAGAATACTAATAATAATAGCCATAAAAATAGTAATAGAAATTCTAATAGTAATAGAAATAATAACAGTTATAGGAAAAGCAATGCTAATAGTAATAGTAACAGTAATTGTAGTAGTAGTAGTAATAGTAATAGTAATAGTAATAGTAATAATAAAAGGAATACTATAATAATCGTAATCGTAAGAGTAAAACATAGTAATAGTCATAGTACTAGTAATAGTTAAAGCAATAGTAATCGGAATAGTAATGAGAATAGTAATAGTAATAGTAATAGTAATAGTAATAGTAATAGTAATAGTAATAGTAATAGTAATAGTAATAGTAATAGTAATAGTAATAGTAATAGTAATAGTAATAGTACTAATAATGAAAGCAATCGTAATCGCAATAGTAATCGTATAAGTTATAGTAATAGTAAAAGTAAGAGTAAGAGTAAGAGTAAGAGTGAGAATACTAGTAATAGTAATAGTACTAGTAATAGCAGTATCACTAGTAATAGTGACAGTACATGTAAAAGCAAATGAAATAGTAATAGTAATAGTACGAGTACTAGTAATATGATTAATAATAGTGCTGGTAATAGTAATAGTAATAATAATGATGATAGTAATAGTAATAGTAATAGTAATAGTAATAGTAATAGTAATAGTAATAGTAATAGTAATAGTAATAGTAATAGTAATAGTAAGAGTAAGACTAAGACTAAGAGTAAGAGTCATAGTATTAGTGACAGTGATAGTAATCGGAATCGTAATCGCAATAGTGTTGGTAGTAGTGATACTAAAAGTAATAGGAATAGTAGTAGTAATAGAAATAGTAATAGTAATATAGAGTAAGAGTAATAGTACTAGTGATCGTAATAGTAATAATAATAGTACTAGTAATAGTAGTAATAATAGTAGTAGTAGCAGTAGTGGTAGTAGTAGTAGTAGTGGTAGTAGTTGTAGTAGCAGTGGCTATTCATCGTAGTATCATTGATAATGCAATTGGGATTAGCATGACTACTGCTGTTAAGGGTATTAACAGTAAATGAGTAGTAGTAGTAGTAGTAGTAGTAGTAGTAGTAGTAGTAGTAGTAGTAGTAACACTAGGAGTAGTAGAAGTAGTAGTGTTGTACGTTAGTCCAACCTACGGATCTACCCCGTAGCGATCTTCGTCCTCCTCCTCCTCATCCTCCTCCTCCTCCGTCAGCCCCGGGTCTCCGGACGCAGCGGCCCAGACTTAGGAGGGGTTTTTTTCCCAGGCAGGTCCAAGCCAGGATCGGCGACGTATCAGGCCCGAGGCCCTTGCCGATCGAAGCATGGGCGCCGCGACTGCTGACGCTTCAGGGCGGCGCTGGCGTCGCCGCCACGAGCGGCGAGGACAGGCGGAGGGAGCGTGCCGGTCCGTCGACGTCGCTGTCGCCGTCGTCGTATGGGCTATGGTTCCCTCAATGTTTCGGATTTTGATGTGGCCTCCCTTCACGGCTTCGCCTCCTCTTCTGCTGTGGTGGAATTCGCCTTGTGGTTTAAGGGAGTCCGTGCGGAAGCCACGCTTTTCGAGCTCCCTCCAGAGGAGGATTAAGTCTCTCCTTTTGCGGCCGTTGT